TATCTTTGTGTAGTCTACTTGTGTGCCAACTTATTTTGAAATCAAACTAGAACTGTAGAAGGAGTAGCGTTTTTAAGGAATTTCACAGAAAATTCTATTTATAGTAACCATGGCAACACCGTTCATCGAAATTAAAAACCGATGCACTATTCTATGTATCTTAGTGTAGCCTACTTGTGTGCCAAGTTATATTGAAATCAGACCAAAATTGTAGAAGGAGTAGCGTTTTAAAGGAATTTCACAGAAAATTCTATTTTTAGTAACCATGGCAACACCATTCATCGAAATCAAAAACCGATGCACTATTCTATGTATCTTAGTGTAGTCTACTAGTGTGCCAAGTTATATTGAAATCAGACCAAAACTGTGGAAGGAGTAGCGTTTTAAAGGAATTTCACAGAAAATTCTATTTTTAGTAACCATGGCAACACCGTTCATCGAAATTAAAAACCGATGCACTATTCTATGTATCTTAGTGTAGTCTACTTGTGTGCCAAAGTATATTGAAATCAGACCAAAACTGTGGAAGGAGTAGCGTTTTAAAGGAATTTCACAGAAAATTCTATTTTTAGTAACCATGGCAACACCGTTCATCGAAATTTAAAACCCATGCACTATTCTATGTATCTTAGTGTAGTCTACTTGTGTGCCAAGTTATATTGAAATCAGACTAAAATTGTAGGAGGAGTAGCGTTTTGAAAAATTGTTTACAGACAGACGGACAGACAGACAGACAGACGGACGGACGCCGGACGCATTACTATCGCATAAGCTCTTCTGGTCTCTGACCAGTAGAGCTAAAAAAAACCAGGATGAAATTTAGAATATAAATAGGTGTAATGAATTCCTAGATTATGCTGTTAATAAAATTGAATGCAAGGACGTACATGCACATGATTGTGCACACAATGCGTTAAACGACCAATATACTTGAGTTTTTGATGTTAACGAAGAATTTAAAACTTCTAAATGTCGAGACGTAAAGACATGTAACATACTGCAGTAAATCTTTTGAACCTTTACCATGAAAATTAAGTGAAGAACAAGGTCTTTGGTAACTTAAACAAATTTGATATTAGATTTTTTTTCCACCCAAATGACCTTGACCTTTGAACGCAACCTTGATCTTGGTCCAAGTATATAAAGAAAATGAAGTAATGTATCTAGAAACAGTTTTCATTGTTTATTTTGGTTGGCAGGAGAAAAGGTAAAGAGGAGGTGTTTTTTTAGTGGCCTTGACTTTTGATCCAATCAAGGTAACAATCAATCGTACGTTTAGGAGTAAGATAAAAGCTTCAACTCCAACGGTAAATAATTAGAAATATAATAACTCCCCTAAAAAAATCTAAATGAGAGGAACTTAGAGAATTTCTGTGAAACTCAACACCAGTTGATACATTCAGTATGTATTTTTTCACTTATACTTGTAAATGTTAAAATCATTCTGATTAAGTGTAAAAAATATTTGGCTGACAAGTTGATACAATTTCCATATCACCTTTACAAACATTGAATCAGGCGCCATCTTGTCAAGATGCCTGCAACAATATCCTACAAACAAACGTGTTGAGGTAAATGGTACATGCCATTTAAAAAGAATCTTTGGTCTAATATGTATCTGGTTATGAGTCCTGTCTCAGGTTACGCAACACGACATCTTCTGATGTTTTCAATTCCTCTTAAATCGACACATGTTCAGTGTATTCATAAACATCTCAAGTAAATCCCAGGAAGTAGTCTTCTATCAGTATGCACTGAAACAAAATCAATCGCAAGTTTTGGAGTAAGAGAAAAGACTCATCTCAATCGCTAATTAATAACCAGAAGTCTCTGTCGAGACTGAAGCTCTACTGGTTTGTGCTTATAGCAAAGGAAGAGAAAAGTTCTTAAGCAGTTTGGAATTGAAACTTTACCACAGCAATAAAAAGAAAACCAGAAGTCTCTGTCGAGACTGAAGCTCTACTGGTTTGTTCTTATAGCAAAGGAAAAGAAAAGTTCTTAAGCAGTTGGGAATTGAAACTTTACCACAGCAATAAAAAGAATAATGAGCTTTGATTAAGTCTCTTTATGTTCTTAGTGTAGTCTACTTGCATGCCACATTATATTATAATCAGACTTAAACTGTACTTGGAATAGCATTTTGAGAGTTTTTAACAGAAATTTCTATTTTTAGTTACCACGGCAACACCGTTCATCGAAATCAAAAACTGATACACAGAATTATGTATCTTAGTGTAGTCTACTTGTATGCCAAGTTTATGGAAATCAAACCAAAACTGTAGGAGGAGTAGTATTTTGAAAGAATTTCACAGAAATTTCTATTTTTAGTAACAACGGCAACACCGTTCATTGAAATCAAAAACCGATACACAGAATTATGTATCTTAGTGTTGTCTACTTGTGTGCCAAGTTATATTGAAATCAGACCAAAACTGTAGGAGGAGAAGCATTTTGAAAGAATTTTACAGAAATTTCTATTTTTAGTAACAACGGCAACACCGTTCATTGAAATCAAAAACCGATAAACAGAATTATGTATCTTAGTGTAGTCTACTTGTGTGCCAAGTTATATTGAAATCAGACTTAAACTGTTGGAGGAGTAGCATTTTGAAAGAATTTTACAGAAATTTCTATTTTTAGTAACAACAGCAACACCGTTCATTGAAATCAAAAACCGATACACAGAATTATGTATCTTAGTGTAGTCTACTTGTGTGCCAAGTTATATTGAAATCAGACCAAAACTGTAGGAGGAGTAGCATTTTGAAAGAATTTCACAGAAATTTCTATTTTTAGTAACAACGGCAACACCGTTCACTGAAATCAACAAGCTAATTCAGAGAATTCGTGTCCCCCGCTTAGGGAAAGAGTCGGCCCCCCTGACTGAATTTGTAGAATTATTAAATGTATACATGTATACTGAAGCAAATAAAATACATGTATGTCAATTTGCATATAAAAATTTGATTGCTTATTATTCATTATGTGTATAGAAGATTTCTTTACATAGAATTTTTATCACACTGTAATGATGATTTTATAACCTCGAAAATTTTTCATTTCACATGCTGAATACTTTCATTTAGTAAAAAAAAAGTATTTAAAAAAAAAAAGAAAGGTTCGACCGAGATTCGATCCCGGGACCTCTCACACTTGAAGCAAGAGACATAACCACTAGACCACGGAATCGCTTTACTCGGCGAGAAGTATATGCAGAAGTGAAATCACATACATGTATTTATTCATGTTTTCATGTTCGGTATTCTCAAAATTTTACACAACCCATGGTGTTTGATTTATTTAGCCTTTATTAAACAGTTCTAATAGATGTAATAAGAACATAAAGTCCGCCGAGAACCTGTTTTATACGCAATAACTCTCCTTATGCCCCTGCGCTAAAAATAGCGACATGTAATTCTATAAATACTAATAAAACAAACGGGGCGGGGCACTTTGAGAGGGGCGAGAGACGTCCTAGGGAGTTTTGATATAAAATTACATTGCATAAGCTCAAAATCTTCTTGAAATATTGCCCGGAAATAATAGTATTACACACAGACAGAATGTATAAATTTACGACCTTGAACTTTTACCTTTTGACCTCAAAATCAATAGGGGTCTTTATTAGGCCACAGGGAGTTGTTATATAAAATTTCATTGCAATAGCTCAAATGGTTCTAGAGATATCGTGTGGAAACGAAAGTGTTTTAACAGACAGAATTTGCTTATTTATGACCTTTGACCTTTTGACCTCAAAATCAATAGGGGTCTTCTTTAGTTCATAGGGAGTTGCTATGCTAAATTTCATTGCAAAAGCTCAAAGGGTTCTCAAGATATCGTGTGGAAACGAAAGCGTTACAGACAGACAGAAAGACGGACAGACGGACGGAGGGACGGACGGACAAACCCAAATTAATATCCCCCACTTTTCAAGCGGGGGACAAAAACCGATACACAAAATTATGTATCTAAGTGTAGTCTACTTGTATGCCAAGTTATATAAAAATCAGACTTAAACTGTAGGAGGAGTAGCATTTTGAAAGAATTTCACAGAAATTTCTATTTTTAGTAACAACGGCAACACCGTTCATTGAAATCAAAAACCGATACACAGAATTATGTATCTTAGTGTAGTCTACTTGTGTGCCAAGTTATATTGAAATCAGACCAAAACAGTAGGAGGAGTAGCATTTTGAAAGAATTTCACAGAAAATTCTATTTTTAGTAACCATGGCAACACCGTTGATTGAAATCAAAAACCAATGCACAGAATTATGTATCTTAGTGTAGTCTACTTGTGTGCCAAGTTATATTGAAATCAGACCAAAACTGTAGGAGGAGTAGCATTTTGAAAGAATTTTACAGAAATTTCTATTTTTAGTAACAACGGCAACACCGTTCATTTAAATCAAAAACCGATACACAGAATTATGTATCTTAGTGTAGTCTACTTGTGTGCCAAGTTATATTGAAATCAGACCAAAACTGTAGGAGGAGTAGCATTTTGAAAAAATTTTACAAAAATTTCTATTTTTAGTAACAACGGCAACACCGTTCATTGAAATCAAAAAGCGATACACAGAATTATGTATCTTAGTGTAGTCTACTTGTGTGCCAAGTTATATTGAAATCAGACCAAAACTGTAGGAGGAGTAGCATTTTGAAAAATTGTTTACAGACAGACGGACAGCTAGACAGACGGACAGACAGACGGACGGACGACGGACGCATTACTATCGCATAAGCTCTTCTGGTCTCTGACCAGTAGAGCTAAAAATAAATACCGTGTTGATAACATAATTGATCTTGATTTTTTAATTTTGTAAAGCAGAAAAGGAAATTATTCTCCCATGTATAAAACAAATAAAACACAAGCTGTCACTTACGACACTGATACCTTATGTACAACATCATCAGCTGAACTTTTGTCAGTGATCAATTGTTTGTAGAAATAAGCCTTAACACCATGTTTACTTATTAGATGCTCATTTTTAAGTATATATAGAGTCAGTTACATGTATTTATTAAACATGCATCAACCTACCATTTTGTCGTCTTTCTTTGTGTTGTTTTCAAAGAACATGAAATCCTGTAGTGAAAAAAAAAAAAATGGAAAAAAAAATTAAACAATTTGTCACTTTCAGTTATGTGGAAATTGGTTCCATTTAGATCATACACATTTCCAATGAATATGCTTTTAATATGTTCAGGTGAGTTAATAAGCAAGATTTACAATACAGAGATAAGCATGGTAAGGAATCTGACTTACCAAAAGGAAGACGGCTCCCAGGAGGGTGGCCTTGACATTGACATCCAGATCCAGAGGGAAGGAGATTCCAAAGTTGTCAGCATCAGTGAACAGCTCCTTACCCAGTCCAGACCACTGCTTAGTGACACGACCTACATACGTCTCCTCATCCGGGGCATAAACCTGACAAACAGAAAGTAAAGGTCATCAAAAAGAAAGTAAAGGTTGCCAAACAGAGAGTAAAGGTTGCTAAACAGAAAGTAAAGGTTGCCAAACAGAAAGTAAGGATTGGGAGACAGAATGGTTACCAAAAAGAAAGTAGTTACCAAACACAAAATCGAGATAAAAAACAGATTGAAAGTGAAATATGATTTAAAGAGGAAAATTAAATCAAATCTCAAAATATTTGCTTACATCAAACTCGATGTCTCCACAGATGTTGAGCTGACAACAGGGTCCTTTGATCCTCAGCATGGTCTCACCTTCAGCATTCTCAATCCTCATACGAGGTTTACACAAGCTCCAGGCCTGAGATACGTATCCCGCCACCTTTCCTGGAGGGGCCTCTACTGTTACTTTCTAAAATCAAGGACACATGGCTATAAGAAAATGCTTCAGTGTCAAATAATAATTATTTCATTTTCAATTAAAACCAGAAGTCTCTGTCGAGACTGAAGCTCTACTTATTTGTTCTTATAGCAATGGAAGGGAAAAGTTCTTAAGCAGTTGGGAATTGAAACTTTACTACAGCAATAAACAGAATAATGATCCTTGATTAAGTCTCTTTATGTTCTTAGTATAGTCTACTTGCATGCCACATTATATCATAATCAGACTTAAACTGCAGGAGGAGTAGCATTTTGAGAGTTTTAAACAGAAATTTCTATTTCTAGTTACCATGGCAACACTGTTCATCAAAATCAAAAACCAATATACAGAATAATGTATCTTAGCGTAGTCTACTTGTGTGCCAAGTTATATTGAAATCGGACAAAAACTGTAGGAGGAGTAGCATTTTGAAACAATTTCCCATAAATTTCTATTTTTAGAAACCATGGCAACACTTTTCATCAAAATCAAAAACCGATATACAGAATTATGTATCTTAGTGTAGTCTACTTGTGTGCCAAGTTATATTGAAATCAGACCAAAACTGTAGGAGAAGTAGCATTTTGAAAGAATTTCATAGAAATTTCTATTTTTAGTAACAACGGCAACACCATTCATCGAAATCAAAAACCGATACACAGAATTATGTAACTTAGTGTAGTCTACTTATGTGCCAAGTTATATTGAAATCAGACCAAAACTGTAGGAGAAGTAGCATTTTGAAAGAATTTCACAGAAATTTCTATTTTTAGTAATAACGGCAACATCGTTCATCGAAATCAAAAACCGATACAAAGAATTAAGAATCTTAGTGTAGTCTACTTGTGTGCCAAGTTATATTGAAATCAGACCAAAAATGTAGAAGGAGTAGTATTTTGAAAGAATTTCAAAGAAATTTCTATTTTTAGTAACCACGGCAACACCGTTCATCAAAATCAAAAACCGATACACAAAATTATGTATCTTAGTGTAGTCTACTTATGTGCCAAGTTATATTGAAATCAGACCAAAACTGTAGGAGAAGTAGCATTTTGAAAGAATTTCACAGAAATTTCTATTTTTAGTAACAACGGCAACACCGTTCATCGAAATCAAAAACCGATACACAGAATTATGTATCTTAGTGTAGTCTACTTGTGTGCCAAGTTATATTGAAATCAGACCAAAACTGTAGGAGGAGTAGCATTTTGAAAGATTGTTTACAGACAGACAGACAGACGGACGGACGACGGACGCATTACTATCGCATAAGCTCTTCTGGTCTCTGACCAGTAGAGCTAAAAAGATCCTTGATTAAGTCTCTTTATGTTCTTAGTATAGTCTTCTTGCATGCCACATTATATAATAATCAGATTTAAACTGCAGGAGGAGTAGCAATTTGAGAGTTTTTAACAGAAATTTCTATTTTTAGTTACCATGGCAACACCGTTCATCGAAATCAAAAACTGATGCACAGAATTATGTATCTCAGTGTAGTCTACTTGTATGCCAAGTTATATTGAAATTCAGACCAAAACTGTAGGAGGAGTAGCATTTTGAAAGAATATCATAGAAATTTCTATTTTTAGTAACAACGGCAACACCGTTAATCGAAATCAAAAACTGATACACAGAATTATGTATCTTAGCGTAGTCTACTAGTGTGCTAAGTTATATTGAAATCAGATCAAAACTGTAGGAGGAGTAGCATTTTGAGAGAATTTCACAGAAATTTCTATTTTTAGTAACAACGACAACCCGTTCATTGAAATCAAAAACCGATACACAGAATTATGTATCTTAGTGTAGTCTACTTGTGTGCCAAGTTATATTGTGTGCCAAGTTATAATGAAATCAGACCAAAACTGTAGGAGGAGTAGCATTTTGAAAGATTGTTTACAGACAGACAGACGGACGGACGACGGACGCATTACTATCGCATAAGCTCTTCTGGTCTCTTACCAGTAGAGCTAAAAATAAAATACCACCTCTCCTCCCAAAAAAAATCTAAATGATAGGAATTTAGAGAATCTCTATGAAACTCAACACCAGCTGATAAATTCAATATGTATTTTTCCACTAATACTTGTAAATGTTAAAACATTCTTATTAGTGCAAAAAATATTTGGCTGACATGTTTATGCAATAAACTGTTCATGAATTCAAAAGATAAGCAAACTATAATCAAAATTTCAATATCGCCTTTACAAACATTGTCACAGTAAGCGTTGGCACGATAATTTATATTTAAAACACTCTTGGCATTCATTTTTGCGTGACGCCAACTGACTGCAAACCCATATGCAAGACGGCCAGGATCTATATTACTCTGACAAGGAGCACACCTACCAGTAACAATGTCAGACAAGTTGTATTTTACAAAAAGACTAAAAAATCCTAACTGCACTTATAAAAGTGTGAGCCTGTGATCACCCCTACTATCATTGAACACAACCAAGATAGGGCGTTTCTGCTCTCAAATAGTTTGACTAATCTCGACCATTTGTCTTATAACTTGGTTGAAGAATTGTATTTTGTAAAGTTATATACATGTGACCATCATAGAACGATTCACCAATGTAATCATGTATCTGAATCTTGAATGCAACAGAAGGTGTTACCTTAATTTTGTACATACATGTGACCATCATAGAACGATTCACCAATGTAATCAGGTATCTGAATCTTGAATGCAAGAGAAGGTGTTACCTTAATTTTGTAGGTCGAAGTTAAAATTGGATGCAGGGTTTCCCCTTTGATGCATGTAATTTTGTCTCCGCGACGTTGATAGCGTCATTTTGATTGGCTTTCCGGGAGGCAATTTTAAAGGAATTGACATTGACCTATCACAGGAAAGTACATTTTGAAGATTTACATTGTTATTGTTGCCTCTTACAATGCAATATGCATAAATTTATGTATTATCGTTTCAAAGGAAAGAGGTCAATTTTACTATGGCAAGTAGTCGGAATATTTATATGCAACATAGACTATTAGAAAAATGAGAAAATTTCGCATCTGAATTTTGTGGTTCTATAATCATTTCGGAAAATTCACGCGGATTCAACTCAGAAGTCGTCACCCCGACGCAACTTTTGAACAGTTTTTTTTAGGTACCTTTAAATTCATGCATACTTATTATCGTTAACTACAAGAGAAAATGGAAAATGTGAGATTATAATGATATTAGACTTAATGGGAAAAAAATCTATGAAAACTATGGTCATTTCCTACTACATACATGTATAAAGAGGTACGTTTATACTATTGGTCTCTGACATAAATGTCAAATTTGAATCTGTAGCCAGGATTACCTATGAATTCTGAAATACTGTAGAATAACCCGATTTTCTAACGTGGTAAATGATAATGGAGAGGTTTCGAAAACCAACGTGTACGTGTACTTGTAACAGGGAAAAAATGTGTATTACGTCATCACATTTACTAATGATGATATTCTTCACGTATCCACGTACGTGTAGATCGCTTAGTACCCGTAAGTGCAAACTTGTAGTTTATTTTTTCTTAATTGCTTTTGTTTTCAATCAAAGTGTGTGTGATCCTTAAAGCTAAGGATTGAATGAAAGTACTGATATATGGAACTTAATGTTTTTACGGTAAATAATTCGGCTGTTAAGCAATAAAAACACTAATGTTGACTTTCAACACATGATTTAACAAACCAACGTTAAAAAAACCTATTTTTAATTTATTTTTAGCTCACCTGAGCCGAAGGCTCAAGTAAGCTTTTCTGATCAAAATTTGTCCGTCGTCTGTCCTTGTAGTTGTTGTAAACTTTTCACATTTTCATCTTCTCCTCAAAAACCACCGGGCCAATTTCAACCAAACTTGGCACAGAGTATTCTCGGGTGAAGGGGATTCGAGTTTGTTCAAATGAAGGGCAACGCCCTTTTCCAAGGGGAGATAATCATGAATTTGTTCAAAATTAATGGCATTTTTAAAAAATCTTCTCCAGAACTGCTGGGCCAGGAAAAATGAAACTCATGTGGAAGCATCCTCAGGTAGTGTAAATTCAAGTTTGTTAAAATCATGACCCCCGGGGCAAGGGTGGGGCCAAAATTGCCGACCCAAGTTTAACATAGGAATATATAGGAAAAATCTTTAAAAATGTTCTTCTCCAGAACCACTGGGCCAGGAAAGATGAAACTCATGTGGAATCATCCTCAGGTAGTGTAGATTCAAGTTTGTTCAAATCATGACCCCCGGGGCTAGGGTGGGGCCAAAATGGTCGACCAAGTTTTACATAGGTATTTATAGGGAAGCCTTTTAAAATCATCTTGTCAAGTACTTCAAAGCTATGATTAGTGATATTTATATGGAATCATCCTCAGGTAGTGTTTATTCTAATTTGTTCAAATGATGAACGCCTGGAAGGGGAGGGGGGATAAATTCAAGCCCGATGTGCTCAGGTGAGCGCTGTGGCCCCTGGGCCTCTGGTTTTAATTGACTTGTTCATTTTGGGCTCATGTATAAAGCTTGAGACATAGAATCTATTATATCCGTAAGAAAACGTTAACTACAGCTTAAAACTACTCATTAAAACTGAAAAATAAGAAACATCATCAAGTGTTAAAAACAGTTTTTACATTGCACAGAAGATAATGTAATTTCATTTGTCACTTTGGAATAATGACTGGACATGCATACAGTTAAAGATCAATTAATGAGTTTGGTGTGGGAAGTTGAACATTTCGGCATCTCATTATGAACCATATGTTATCTTCTGGGAATCGGGAACAAGAATTAGATATCTCTCTTCTCTTATTAGGTCACCTGAGTAATTCAGGTGACCTATTGCTATCTGTTTTCGTCCGTCGTCGTGCGTCTGTGCTTCGTCCATTAACATTTGAACATTTACAGCTTTTTCTCTGCAACCAGTGAACCAATTTCAACCAAATTTGGCACAAAGCATCTATTTGTGAAGGGGGACAAAAATTATGAATTTCACGATCCCTCCCCCCTGGGGCCTGAGGGGTGGGGCCAAAAGCACTAAAATTAGTGTAATCTTTGAAAATCTTCTTTACTCCTGGACATCAAGCAGTCAAACTGTTAGCATGATTGTAATCAGCATTGAGTCCTCCACCAAAATTGTGAAATTCATGGCCCTGGGGTCAAGGGTTCTAGTGCTAGGGCGGGGTTAAATAAATATATAGTAAAAATGCATTATTTCTTTGAAAATCTTCTACTCTGCTCCTGGGTATTAAATAAACCAACTAAGTGCATAGTTATAATGAGCAAGAGTGACTCTACCAAAATTGGGAATTTAATGGCCCCAGTTTCAGGGGTTCTGGTGTTAGGGTGGGGGTCTATAGATTATATAGTGAAAATACATAAATTCTTTGAAAATCTTCTTCTCTGTTCCTAGGTATTAAATAAAGTAAGTAAGTGCATAGTTATGATGAGCAAGAGTGCCTCTACAAAAATTGTGAATTTTATGGCCACATGGTCAGGGGTTCTGGTGTTAGGGTGGGGCTCTATAGATTATATAGTGAAAATACATGAATTCTTTGAAAATCTTCTTCTCTGTTCCTAGGTATTAAATAAATAAACTAAGTGCATAGTTATTATGAGCAATGGAGCCTCTACCAAAATTGTGAATTTCATGACCCCAGAGTCAGGGGTTCTGGTGTTAGGGCGGGGCTCTATAGATTACATAGAGAAAATACATGAATTCTTTGAAAATCTTCTTTTCTGCTCCTAGGTATTAATTAAATAAACTAAGTAAGTGCATAGTTATGATGAGCAAAAGTGCCTCTACAAAATCCGTGAATTTTATGGCCCCAGGGTCAGGGGTTCTGGTGTTAGGGCGGGGCTCTATTTATTATATAGTGAAAATACATGGATTCTTTGATTTTTTTTTCTCTGCTCCTAGGTATTAAATAAACTAACTAAGTATATAGTAATGATGAACAACAATGCCTCTTCCAAAATTGTGAATTTTATGGCCCCAGGGTCGGGTTTATGGTGTTTGGGCGGGGCTCTATTGATATTATAGTGATAATACATTAAATCTTTAAAAATTTTCCTTTTTGCTCCTAGGTATTACGCAGGTGAACATACCTATGTAGTTATGATGAGCAAGGGTCCTAATCATCCAGAATTGTGAATTTCAAGGCCCCTGGGTCAGGGATACCATAGACGTGGGGGGGGGGGAGATGGGGAGTGTTACTTATATAGTGAAAATGA